GGCTCAAGTAGTAGAGCAATCACCTTGATCTGAAGAGCACAGGGACAGTACCCACACCCAGATTATAAAGAGTGCACAAAGCGTGGGTAGGGATAGTGAGAATGTTTAAAGGGATGACATTGATTAAGATGATTGTATTCATAACCTGCTTTTTAAAATGGCAATTCTTTTGTACAACTGCTGAAACATTAAAAATTGGGAAACAAAATTAATGATGGAATGGTAAATTAGGTCTTCTCTGGGTATGGGTAGTCATGGGATAGAGAGAGAGAAAACAGAGTTCAAGCGGGCAAATATGGTAGAAATACTATATGAGCATATAAAAATGTTTCTAATGAACATTCAGAGTTGTAATTGTGTAGTGATAGAAACCACATGACTCTAAGAAGTGATGGGTATGTAATGTGTAAAAGAGCCAGATCATGATTTTCAAGGAAGGACCACAAAACTGTTCTGAATTAAAAGCAGACTGAGATTTAGGCCAGTTAAGGCAACCTGTATGTGGGTCCTTTTGTCACAAATGCTGTTATAATTGTCAAAGTCAAAATGGTCTTGCAGTCCACAGGGCATGATTCAGTATACCATCATTTTATTGAGTCAGGTAAGAGAATGCCCTGTTTTTAAGAATTTTTTAGGGTGTAAAACTATGAGGGCATATTCTGAAATGAATAATAACAACATACAATTTTTTTTACTACACTTACAACCCATCTTTAAGGGTAAAAATATTTCAAATAATTTGTAATATAAAATAAAATTCCTTAACCATATTCTGAAATTATTTTTACTTTGTAAGAAAAAACACTTTTCTACAAATGTCCAAAATAATCCTGTTTCCTCAAGGATATGACCCTTACAAAAGCCATATGTTTCTTTTTTTTTTTATTGTGAAAATACTGTACAGAGGGGTTACAATTACAGGGGCAAGATAATGTGTACATTTCTTATCGAGCATTGTAGCCTCCTCCTTTGTTTCCCCTTCCCATCCCTTCCCATCCACCCCCCACCCCACCACCCAATCCTCCCCGCCCTCCCCCACCAAAGTTTTAAAGTTCGTTTTCAGCATAACAACTTGTACTTCTCATTGTTGCAATGGGTCCACCTGTATCCCTATTTAAACGATTTGTTTTTCCCCTTCCCCTCCACAAATTATACTGACATCAAATACAGTGAAAGCAGGGGTTATGCTGTGGGAGAGGGACATACAAAGCAAGAAAGAAATAATCTTATAAATGTGTTAGAAACAATTGCATGAAAGAAAAAAAAAACATTTGAATGCATATCTTCGGGTTCATTTCCCAAACATCACCTTATCTGACCTTTTCTGCTTGACTAAGACATATACTAGATATTGCAAATAAGGGAAACCATGGGACCTATGTTTCTTTGGGCCTAAAAGCCATATGTTTCTTAATGCCCACCTAATATTTGCCTAAATCTTGTTCTTGCTTTAGGGACCTCCATATTCTGGCCTTTGAGTGTGGCATTATTCAGCAACCTGGAAGTTCTTACCAGTAATGCTAAACATATTTGTCAAAGAGAAATTAATTTTCACTTCTTCCAGCCAAGCAAGATGGAACCAGAATTAGGATAAACCTAAAATCCTGGACTAGTCATGATCTATTGCAAAACAATGACTCCCACGTAAGATTCAAATCAATATCACATCACTGAGTTTGGAAACAGAGAGAGGAAGAGAAAAGCAGAGATCAAAAGTTCCACTAGGAATGTAAGAATGCCAGAAATTTCTGACACCTGATGGATCATGAAGGACCCTATGAAAAAGACAGTGTCTTCATTCAAGTCCCTATCTTCTATTTCAATTGGAGCCTTACAATGTCACAACAATAATCAGAGCGTCTTGTTAACCAGAAAGAATTTGGAGACCCAGAGAAAGTGGTATCATTCTTTAATATATTTCATTGCTCCCAGAAATTAGACCCCTCACATAGTGCTCCTTCAGTCATTCTGACAGAGTGTACAATTCAAATATCAAATTTCCTTGGATTAATGGGGGAGAATGATGGAAGGGCTGACATGATGTATTGAACTCATAAACTGATTTGGAGAATGATACCTTCTTATGCAAATACTTAAAATAATATAAACATAATTTACAGGTATCAATCATTTTCATCATCATTACTGTTGGGCAACAAAAGTTTCAAACTAAAAAGTTCAAGACTAAATTTCATAGACTCTGTGTTTCTTTATTGGATCTATCCTGTTCATAGGATAGATCACAGTCCATTCACCAGGTCCACAGTGGGGCCAACCCTGCTGCAGGGAAAGAGAACTCAGTTGCTCCTTTATTCTTTTTGACTTCAGGTTTGAAAGCCTGCAAAACTGCCCACTTCTGGCAGGTCTGCTAGATAGTATGTTGATTAGCAACAAAATGTGTAGGTGATGGTCTTGGAATAAACTTGCTGCCCTTGCTCCTGTGTGGAGTGGCTACTCTTGCTGATGATTGTAAATATGAATAACAGGCAGAAAAGTGCACATTCTAGAATGTCAAATTACACAGTCTTAGAAACTGTTATGGAGTAGATTCCTGCAAAGCTTCAAGAAACAGATCCAACAAGGCCACTGCTCATTAAGCCTGTGGAAGGATCCCCAACACCTGTGGTTTCAGTTTCAAGCGACTCCCTAGGGAAGAAGGATATTCTTGTAACTCAGAAGGATTACAACTCTGCAGCAGTACAGATACCAGAGACCAGAGCTCTTGGCCTGCAGCCATTCTGTTATCTCAAACCAACAATCTGATCTTGGATATAGATGCAATGCACATTTTTTCCGTAAACAAATTCACATTTTGTGAAACATCAGCAGAAATACATGACCACAGAATACATTGCAAGCATATTCTTTACAAACAAAAATTACTTCCCTCAATTCAGATGATAGGGAAACCCAAACCCACTTGGTGGTTCTCCTTCAGAAGTCTCAAATGGAATCCCAGGACTAAATTATAATGGTGAATCCAAAGTAGTGTTTCATTTATAGACTTTTAAAGAAAATAATCTTCTTATTTGCAATAATTAGTATAAGTTTAGAACAAGCATAAAAGATAAAAATCTATGTACATATGACCATATAAGATGATATTAAGCGAAATGAACCCCAAGATAGGGACACAAATGATTTTTTTCTGTCTTACTATTGTTTATAATGTATGTAAAATGTACTATGTGATTTTGTTTGTTTCATTGGTATGTTCCTCCCCCATGGTATAACCCCTGTTTTCACTGTTTTTTATTTCGGTGCCCTGCATCTTGTATATATATTTTTATAATTTGGGGAGGGGAAGGGAAAAATAAAATGTTTAAATAGGGATACAGGTTGACCAATTGTAACAATGAAATCTACAAGACATTATGCTGAAATGAACTTTACAACTTTGGGGGGGGGAGTTGAGGGGTAAGGAGGGGTGGGGAGATTAGTTGAGGACATGGGGAAGGAAGGGATGGTAGGGAAAAATAAAGGAGGCGGCATCAATGCTCAATAGGATATGTACTCATTACCTTACTCATGTAACTATAACCCCTCTGTACAGTATTTTTACAATAAAAAATGTATAAAAAAGATAACTACTGTCAGATTACATATGGGACCCATGTTTTTTCTTACTAAATCTCCACAATCTAGGTTCCCCAGATCTTCCTTTAAGACCAGATCTGTAAATGTTTAACTACATGATTTAATACACTGTTACTTTGTTGCCTGTGGATAAATTAAAACAGAACAGGAAAAAAGTGGAATGATGTGATCCAATAGAGTAGGTTGAGTAGATTGGGAGACCAGACATCACTCCCATCTCCCTTTAAACTCCCTTTCAACACTAGGCAAACTCAGTTTGTAGGAATGCAATTTAGCATAGCCAGTATGGAGGACAGGAAGGAAGTTACTAAAATACCTAAAAAGAGACATACCAGATGATTTGGCTACCCCACTCCCGGGAAAACATCTGAAATAAATCCAACAGACAAAAGTGATATCTATAAAGGAGTGTCTGCATATATAGATTTATTGTGATACTTTTATCAGTAGAGAAAATTTGAAATTGATCAATTGTCCTAGAATCAATTAGAAAGTAGTGATGAACTGGCCCATATGTGTATGTATGTCTGTGTATATGTATATATATATATATATATATATATATGTATATATATACATATGCATATATACACACATATATATGTATATATATACATGTACACAACATATATAAAGAAACATGAAATCCTGTAATCCGCAGCAAAATGAATGGAACTGGAGGTTATTCTGTTAAAACAGACAAAACAAAAGGTCTTTCTCATTCAAACAAACTTAAAACAAAATAGAAGAGTAATTATGTGGGCCTAAAAAGGGCTCCAGTTCAGGAGGCAGGAGGGTGAGCACAGGGGAAAAATAGAAGGACATGATCAATGTACATAATAGATGTATAAGGAGAATCCCAGAATCTTATTAATAGATACTGATAAAATATGTTAATACAATAGATATCAGAGAAGTAACGACTAAAATCTGAAGCAATGAATCTGTTCTTTGTATTATAAACAATTCCTGATGGTAGCTCATACACCAAATACTAGATATTCTGCAAACTGACATCTCATGATCCTAGTTCAAAGCTGGCCTGGGCAGGAAACTTGGTGAGACTCTTAGCTCCAATTAACCACCAGAACACCAGAACTGGAACTGTGGCTCAATATGTTGGAGTGCTAACCTTGAGCAAAAGATCTCAAGCCCCAAGACTGACAATAACAATAACAAAAAACCATTGCTGCTTAGACATCTATTACTTGTGTTATTGTTTTATGCATCTCAGGTGTTGACACAATTCACACTCTTCAAGTCTATATTGTCTATATATGAGCAGCTCTGTCAGCAGGTGGAGGCACCAGGAGGAGCAGCTGGGGCAGCCCAGACTCTCACTTCTGCTTCCCTGGGAGGTTTTTGTCATGGCTTATATCACTGTGGGAGGAGAGTTGCTATACTTTTGACAGTAATAAGTGGCAACATCTTCAGGCTGCAGGCTGCTGATGGTGAGAGAATAATCTGTCCCAGATCCACTGCCACTGAACCTGGATGGAACGCCAGATGCCAAAGTACTACTACCATAGATCAGGAGTTTAGGGGCTTCCCCTAGTTTCTGCTGGTACCAGGCTAAATAGCCATAAATGTTTTCACTGGCTCTGCAAGTGATGGTGGCTGTGCCTCCTACAGATGCAGACAAGGTGGATGGGGACTGGGTCATCTGGATGCCACACCTCGCATCTGGCAGGGGAAACATGAAACAAATATCCACATTATTAACCGAATTATAAGAAAGCTCTCCTGAAGAGTAAAGCATCATGGATCACACTGAGGAATTTTAATGCCCAATATTCTTTATCCTTACCTGGGAGCCAGAACAGCAGGAGCCCCAGGAGCTGAGCAGGGATCCTCATGTCCATGCTGTGTGCTGACTGGGACTGACTGCTGCACCGACTATGAGCAGCCTATGAAGAAGTCCTGAGGGCAGTGGGCTGTGCTGTTGGCACATGCAAATCATCAGCATCTGGACAAGGTTAAACACAACTGTACGGCTGCCTCATCTCAGTAGGTCTACACATTTAGAATCTCAGGAGACTTAGGTCAGGCAACAGACTGTACTGTAGCCACAGAAGAGTATCAGCACATTTTTTTCCTGTGGGTGGAGCACACCACTGATCTCATTGTGGATAAAAGTCTCTTTTCTTTTTATTTCTTTATCTGAGACAAGACCTGTCCATTAAAAGGTTAGTTCCAGAAATTTACAGACGTTTGCACAACACTCATTTGGCACATGCCTTTATTATCCAGAGCAGGAACTTTGGGAATTGCTCTAATTCACTGATAATCTTTATGTGGCAATTTATCACCACTGCTCTCCTGTAATATGATCATTACAGATGAAATAAGGATGTGGAGCTATTACACTGATTAGAAAATAGTTAAAATTGTGAATTGTGCAGCACAGCCTTGTTTTTTCCTATAACTCTGAATTTCTTGCATCAGCAGATACATAAAAGCAAGACATTTTCTTCATTTCAAACCTGACTAGTCTTTTCCACCGTCCTTTGGGTGTGTATAATTTATAATGTCCATTATTGAGGTCTTCATATTCCTTCTGGATTTTAAACATATTAACCAAAGCTACTGTGTTTGAATCAGAGATTCTCCTTGAAAAGAAGGATAAACTAGGGTTATGTTGAAGCCTACTGAGTTGCCTAAAGCTACATATGTTCCTTTCACTTGGTGGTCTCTTCTAGTTATGAAGAGAACACTGTGTTTCACGCCTGGGTTAAAGATATTGGGCCCAAGTAGAGTAAGTAGAACCATGGAAAGGTTCTACATGGAAAATTCCCACGTTGGAATTTTTTTTAACAGAATCCAGGAGCCAGCAGTACATGGAAATGTCATTCATAATGAGAGGAGGCAACATGGGGCTTACAAGCAAGAGTAAGGAGAGCTGATTGTCTATGCTGGAGAGAAAGATCATTGCTGGCTGCACTGAAGGTGCTGAGGTGGAATGAGACACAAGGACAACCATACGGGCCTGTGCAGTTGTCAGGGCCCACAAGTCACTACCGCATGGGATGCAAAGTTGACTCATCTCAGCAGTGTTATGCCAGTCTGAGTAATACATGAGCAAATATGTGAGGGGTGTTGTATGCTATGATCATGTAAATGACAGTGACAGCTGGTGTTTCTCATCATCCAAAAAAGTTGATCATGTGGCTGAATTCTTGAGGGAAAGAATTGTATTCTAACTAGAGGAGAACTTTTTTTAAGAATGTACTTCAGAATAACCTATTGCTGTGCATGCAGGTGGACAAATCACCATAAAATCACACATATATGTATGTATATGTAAGACTAGATGAATGAATGAGTGGATGGATAGTTTTTTACAGCCTAGAAATAATGATGCTCTAGTTCCATTAATAGATAGCACCAAAGCTGGGCGCTGGTAGCTCATGCCTGTAATCCAAGCTACTCAGGAGGCTGAGATCTGAGGATCACCGTTCTACCCAGCTCGGGCAGAAAAGTCCGTGAGACTCTTCTCTCCAATAAACCACTCAAAAACAGGAAGTGGCGCTGTAGCTCAAGTGGTAGAGCCCTTGCCTTGAGCTGAAGAGCGCAGGGACAGCGCCCAAGCCCAGAGTTCAAGCCCTCCCCCCCCCATTGACAAAAAAAAAATAGCACCATCACTAATGTACCTGTAAACTTTCTCCAATAAATGAAACAAGTGACCCTTGTGGAAATAATGATTTTTTATCAAAACTAAGAAAGTGTAAGATAATTTTGGACCATTTTGTGCCCAAAACAAAAAAATTCCTGGTGTGTGAGGTAAAGGAAAAAGTGGAGAGAATCAGCTAGCAAAGGATGCCCACTGGCCAATTTCAAGGGATTTTGAACACCATATAAACAGTAATATACACCATTAAATCAATTGTAAATCCTTGGATTCACCATGATATTTTCATAAGAAATGTGATATTCTAAAATGATTAAAAACTTCTCCACACATTTTCATAAACTGCAAAAGGGAAAGAATTGTTATACAGCAGAGAAATCTGGCAGCCATCACCTAGTCTAAAATTGAAATGAAGATCACCATTAATGATGATTCAAACCAGGGGTCTGTTAAAAGTCACCATAAAAAGAACACAGTGGTACTTCTGGACTTTGCTCACATACATGCACTACTGAATATAACCTGAAGGAATCTAGTTTGAGAGACATTCAGAAACATGGCTGCTGTGCAGTCACTAAGAATGATAAGACCATGATTATATCGTGTTTTTTTTCTTACACAGTAGGATGCAAAATAACGTATATTCTTCCATTAGAACTCATTTATCATTTGGCAATATTTCACTGGCAGTAGGCAGAGATTTCAGTTATAGAAGAATGGAGAAACAAAAGGTAATTCAAGGAGGAAGCTCAAACAAAACTTAATCCAGAGGTTCATTTGTTATAGCAAGATAAGATTTTTTCCTACCTCTCTCCTCTGTCCTCCTTTGTCCTACTTCTGTAATTAGAAGGTTTTTCCTTGTTGTTAATGAATTGTAGCACTGTGTATACTCCTTGCCACACACAGGCTTCTTCCTACCACTAGGATCTCAGTTTCTCTCCATGAGGTCAAGATAGGTAAGATCAACTTGGCCAAATGCAGAAGACAATCACTGCCCAGGGAATGTCTTCTCAAACAGGCCAATCAGCTGTCCTGCAATGGGGTTAATTTAAACATCCTTAAAAGCAAACTGCCTACAAACAATAATACTTGTTTGGAGTAAGAGCTCTGAAGTGCATAACAAATGCATTGGAAGAGCAAACATATATGCCCATTCTTTCATCTATGACCAAGGCCATAAGTTATAGATTAAAGAAGGAAAGTAAGTTACATTTTGAAGGAAGTATTTTTATGAATCTTAGGAATATAATTGATCAAACAATTTCTCTCCCTTTGCCTGTGAACAAACCACTTAAAATGAAGATTGGTTCTCTTCATTAAGAGAGATATTAAAAATGGTCTAAGATGCTCTGTTACAATGGAATCCAGGTTTGTTTTGAATAGAGAGTCAGAGTCTGCTTCATGTTCCTCATCTGTGTGTTTGCTGATTTCTAGTTGCAGGGACATGATGGCATGAAAAATTAATATCCTTATTCAGAAAATGAGTTAGTTAAATGGGCTTAAGTGAGATCACACAGGATATATTTAATGAACCACAGATGTTCAATTTTAACTTATTTATTCTTCCTCTCATTCTAATCATGCTAAGAGGTGAAAAAACAAAATGTGTTCCCAGATGCCCACTACCCACTTCCCTTGAGTAATAGTGTTGCTAGAGAGAGTGGCGAAAGGGGAGCAGGTGGGGTGGGGTGGCTGGAGTCTCAGGAAACAGGACAGCATGAGAAGTATGTGTTCATTGTCTTGCCTTTGCATTAAAATGAGGGTTCTGTAAGATCAGAGGTTTGTGTCTACAAGTGCTCATGGTACTGTTTCTAAAAGTGGTTCTTTATATTTAGTGTAAAGAAATGTAAGAGAGCTCAAGAACTGAAGTTATTTCAGCTTTTACCCCTTAGAGGGAGCTGTGGCACCTGTGACAGAGAGATTGGTTAGCATGTGAGATGTCATTGGAGGAACTAGTCCTGAGGTGCAGCAATGAGAGGGATTCCTAAGTATGTGAGAACTCATTTTTGGAGATGGTGTTTGCACTGATGGAAATCTAATTAGTCTCTTTGGATGATCAGGATGTGTTAGCTAAGCACTCAAACATATGAGGTTATTGTGTTTTCTATTCTCAGATTCCCATGTGATCTTTCATATTGCTATTGAGACCTTATTTGTTCCATTATTTTCTTCATATATTCCTTTTTAGGTGTTTGATCAAAGATCAGAAGCTTCAATGATATTTAAACATTCCTAGCATTAGTAATCCATAAAATAACTACTTTGAAGTCTATTTAGCATTTGGTGGTTGGTTACTGTTGTCATTGATCTTTTTTAAACTTTTCATTTCCAATTTATTGTTTGAGTCTCTAATGGCTTACCTTTATCTACACAGCATGACAAATGCCACTGATGGGTCAGGTTTCCTACACTACAAGTCCATCCTGCTTCTTCCATATACCCTGGTGGGTGGATTGAGAGTGCATTCAATGTGCAGCCAGGTCACCTCCCGTCCTTTTGCTCAAGCCCTCTCATCACACAAGGAGTGAGGTTTCAGAGAAGAGTATTGAGGGGAGGCCTAGGAGGGATGGGGGAGAATGATGAAAGGGTGTCATACTTATAACTGCACTTGTACTTACAAACTGATTTGTTGAATGGTAACTACTTTGTACAACTACTTAAAGACAATAAATGTATAAGTAAAATTAAAAAAAAAACATTTTGCAGAACACTGGAATCAAATACTATGGGTGAAGAACATACAAAGAAACAAAAAAAGATCACATAGTATAAGTATATTAAAATGAACAGCGAGAAAGATAAAATGTCTTATGTCCCTATCTTGGGGTTCATTTCACTTAACATCAGCTTATATGGTCATACATACAGAGCTTTTGACCTCTTCTGCTTGTCCTAGGCATATACTAGTTATTGCAGATAAGGGAAACCATATTACCTATAACTCATTGGGTCTGACTTACACCACTTAATATAAATTTTCCAGGTCTTTCCATTTCCTAACAAATGGGGTGATGCCATTTTCTATGGAGGCATAGATTTCCTTTTCTTAATCCAT